CACACCTGAAAAGATTGCTTTACCAGGTTTCTCAGCATTCCTTCATCTAACCAAGTTGACATCTAGAATTAACCTTCACATCCAGTTTCCCCAAATGTGACCATCTTACAAACGCGTAGATAGATGCAGTACTGTGAACTAATTGCAGAATCAACTCACATTTCACCGTTGTCTCTCTGACATCCTTTCTCTGGTCCAGGCTCCTCCCACACTGCATTTTGTTGTAGAGTCTCCTTAGTCAACTCCCATATGGGACAGTTCCTCAGTCTTCGTCTTTCGTGCCCTTGACACTTTTAAAGAGTATTAGTCAATTTTTGTGAGGAATGTTTCTCAGTTTGAGCTTGTCTGAAATTTCCTCATGATTGGATTGAAGTCATGCATTTTGGGGAGGAAAACTGCAGAAGTGATGCTGTGTCCTTCTCCACACATCATATCGGGGTGCTTGATGGTGATGTCATTGGTTGTGGTGACCTTGAGCCCTGGAGTAAAGTGGTGTCTGCCAGATTTCTCCATCGTGAAGATACTGTTTTCCCTTTGTGGTTGACAAGTACCACAGAAACTGTAAACATCATATTTCTTTTTTTTTTTAAGGATGACCAGTAAGGGGATCTTAACCCTTGACTTGGTGTTGTCAGCATCACACTCTCCAAAGTGAGCTAACCGGCCATCCCCATATATGGGATCCGAACCCGTGGCCTTGGTGTTATCAGCACCGCACTCTCCCGAGTGAGCCACAGGCCGGCCCGAATTAAGTGAATTCTGTGTGACTCCACCCAGAGCGGTCTCAAGGAAGCTTGCGTCTGGCTTCCCCGCCTTCTCCCCATGCTGCTTTTTCCTTTGCAGATTTTCTGCTATGAATCCTTTCCCTGAAATAAATCATATCATGAGTGCAACTGTCTGCTGGGTCTGGAGAGTCCTCCTAGCAAATCATCGAACCTGGGCTGGTCTTGGGACTCCCTACCTTTGCGGTCCTCTGCCACATGGCCTTTTAGAGAAAAAGTTTGCTGAGCCCATCTGCTTATACGCCATTGTCACACTTAAGAAAATAAGCAGTCATTCTGTACTATAATCTGATGTCTAGTGTATATGCACGTTTTCCCAATTGTCCCCCAAACGCTTTTTGCGGTGTTTTCCCTGAAGCAGGATACAATGAACATTTGCCTTCTGTCCTCCGTGATAAGAGGCATCCATTTGTTCATTCATGACGTCAACGTTTAGGAGCGCCCGGGATGGTGACTTGCAGTCCGTGCAGGGATCTGGATTTGTGCTTGTTTCCTCGGGCACTGTTTATCGCCTCCTCTCGTCTCTAGAAAGCGGGACGTGGACCTATAGAGGTCAGCCCAGACTAGACTTGGGCACACGTTTTGGCAGCAATGCCTCGCGGCGGTGGAGGTCCCTCCTCGGTGCGCGTGCTCGCGGGCAGCCTTTGGTAACAGAGCCGCCGGGGCAGGTGTCAGAGCGGAGGCCGCCCCACCCAGCAGGCCGGCCGGGGGCTGCAGTGAGGCCTCCCGGCCACTGCGCGGCGGTGGCGTGCGGGCGGCGGCGGCGGCGCGGGCCTGTGACGTCACGCGGCGCGCCGGCCGAGGGGAGCGCGGGGTCCAGGCTGGGGGCGGCATGGGTC